AAAAATAGATTCGTACCTTGCACTAAAATTTCAGACATCAATGCGAAAAGCATAATTTGAATATTTTTACAAAAAATATAAAAAATACCTTTATGATTTAAGGGTCAGGATAAGAAACATAAAGCATAAACTATAAAAAACAATTGATCTTTTATATTGGGAGAAGATATATATGATGCACATGATTGATCAAGAAACAGCTTGGAATTTATAAAGAACTCCAACAAATCAGTAGACGTAGAGAAAAAACTCAATAGAGAAATGGTAAAAGTTATGAATGGCCAGTTCATAGAAGAGAGAATTAAGTGGCCATTAAACCAGAAAAGATGCTCAACTTCAGTGGTAAGCAAAGAAATGCAAATTAAAACCAAAAGATGTCATTTTATACCAACAGAGTAGCAAAATATTTAAGTCGGGTAATGCCAAGTGTTCATAAGGATACAAAGATACAGGAACTCTCAAACACTGCTGATGAGAGAGAGTATAAATTGGCACAGTCACTTTGGGGAGCATCTAGCAAAGCTCTTGATATGCATCCCTCACAGTCTAGCAATTCCAATCTGGCACATGCAGACTTTAACAAAAACATTCATGGAAATGCGGTTTTCAATAGAAAAGAAGGAAACTGAATACCTACTAGTAGCAGAGGGATAAATTACTTAGTAAAATATTTTAGAACAGCTAAAATGAATGAAGTAGGTCTATGAGTGTCAACATGGACACATTTCAAAAACATAGGGAGAATTAAAAAGTTGTAGAATGTTAATATAGAGTATGATATCATTTCTATAAAACATAGCATAGATTGAACATACACAATAAGAATATAAAAAGTGCCAAGGAATGAGGAAGAATAAATAGGCAAGTCCTTTATTCTGATTTTTAAAATTGTTTTAATGCCATGCAAGTATGACAGATGTGAAGATTTTAAAGAGCTGAATGGCAGAGTGATTGGCATGTTCATCAGGGACCTTGGCCATGAGCAATAGATCACATGCTAGCTGGTTTAAGCAGAAGGGATTTGTTACAGGGCATTAGGTAGCAAACTGAATCTTAAGGATAATTTGGATTTGTTGACAGATAGCATTCAAAGCCAGAGTGAATGTGATTGGCTAGGGAGAAAGTAGGGTGAGCAGCAGCCTTGGAGGATGCATCAGGGACTTGTATGTTTGGGCAGAGGAGCCTGAGCAGAGGATGAGGGACAGGTTGTACCGAGGGGTGTGAGGGTGTGTGAAGGAGCCTCCATACCTGCTGCGTGTCATCTGGCCTCAGTGATAGACTTGTGAGGTTGGTGAGTGGGGCCTTGATCTGTGACTGAGCCAGGTCTTGTGTCTCTAAATCCAGTGTCTTGATCTGTGACTGAGCGAGGTCTTGTGGCTCTAAATCCAGTGCTCCACAGGAACACTTGATATGCATCCACAGGAACACTGGATTTAGAGCCACAAGACCTGGCTCAGTCACAGATCAAGGCTATTAACATTTGGAACTAGGCCTCCTTAACTCACCCTTCAGCATGTACTTTCTGCACAGTAACTGTTGTCCATCGTTTGGAGCTGTGGTTAACGTCTCAACTCTTTCCACCATATCACTCTGCATGGGACAGGTGTGGCTTCACTTCCAAAGTTCATTGGGTAGTAATAGTTACCATTCTTGAAACTCTCTCATTTGCTAGACAGCCATAAGTGATGGTGCCTTATCACTGTGAAGAAGGGATACTAATGGTTAAGCATTCTCAAACATTTCCCCAAGCTGTTGTGTATTTTAGAAAAGCATTTGCTTACCTACTTTGTTCTCCAAATATGCTGAGTGTTGTCCACAGAGTACCTTAAGCCTCCATGAAATAGGAACTGGTATTAGTTCATTTTAATGACAAGAAAACTGAGACTTAAAAAGTAAATTAACTTTCCATAAGTCACACTATTAGAAAGAGATGGAGCTACGATTTAACAGGAGGCTGTCTGAACCCAGCACCAGACCTCCTCGTGTCTACATTGCACTAGATTCTAGCCAAATCTACCATTATCTGTGTAACCTGCAATTGAACTAGTGACTTAGATCTTCAGATTCTTCAAACTGAGTTATTTTGAAGCTTAATCATTCCTTCTGGGGAAAAGGAGAAAGAACATGCTGAAGAGTGAGCTAAAGAGGTCTGTTTCCTAAGGAAAAGCCCCTGTTCAAGGAGAAAGCTTCAATAACCGAAGAGTTCAGATGTTAGCCACAGCTCCAAATGACGGACAAGAGTTAGTGTGCATTTTCAGAATCTGCTTCTCGAATTATTCCCCTCCACTACCACATAAAAATGGGACATTTGAGTGCAGTATTTGTAGAAGGAACAAGCCATTAATTTATAAAAGTTTGGGGTTGGCTACTGTGTGCTAGCACAGTGCTGGGTAAAGGTTGGATAGGATGGTGAGCAAAGCAGATGGGATTCCAGTCCTCATGAAGCTTATAGTTTAGACAGTGTTACATTAGAGATGGAGTTGATAATATGGTTATAGGAGTGGGACCCATGGAGATCTTGGTTATGAAGGGAGGAGTGTATGGGTGGGGAAAGTTCTCTACCACTTCTGAGAATTTGAACAACCTTCACAGTGCTGCAAAGCCCCTTTCTTTGCTAATGAATCCTGGTTCGTTTCAGGTATCCAAACATCTTGAGTAAGTTGGATCCAACCCCAGGTCAGGTGTAAGTCCTGATTGCTCAATCAATAGAATTACCTGAAGGACTTGTTAAAAAAAAAAAAAAAAGAAAGAAAAAAGAAAAAGATCGCAGAATCCTTCCCCTGGATTCAGTGAGGCAGGCAAGAGAATTTGCCTTTTTAACAAGTCCCAGTTCATGCTGTTGCTGATCAAGGGATCTCACGTTGTGAACCACTGTTCTAAACTAATCCTGGTGATCTCATTCCCCTTGCCAGTGACTGGTTTAGTCACATGCATGCAATGCAATTCTGGCCAATATAAGGGATTGTATGTTGGGGAGTGTCATTCAGGACCCCTATTAACTTCAGTAGGGATGGCACCAGGTTCAAGAGGCCAAAGCAAAGACCCAGAGCCAGTAAACAAGACAGAGTGTTTTTAGTAGGAAACTTATATACAGAGCGGTCCAGTGGCAGCAGGCTGGACAGGAGGACCACATGTTCTAGCGGTGGTAGGCTGGGCCAGAGAACCGCTGCCGCTTGTAAAAAGCATGCAGTTTATAGAGCATTTTCACTTAGCACCCTTCCCCTAACAACCTCCAGCTGGCAACCTTCATTGAACTCAAAGGGTCTTGATCCATAGGACCGGGCGGGGGCTCAGATATTCCTCATAGATGAGAAAGTAATCTCCAGGTTTGCCACTCCCAGTTCCTCGGAAGTCCAAATACACATTCAGGTGTGTTTGCCACACAGCATCATTCTCAGGGTATGCTTAAGTAATTGCTGTCAGGTGTCGCTGTCTACCATACATGGGACTCCTAGGAAAGTTTTCCTCTTAATGGGACGCACAAGAAGAGAAAGGCATTGACTTGGTGGTCTTTGTAGCCGCCTTATAACTATGTGAGCCAAAACCCAAGGGGAAATAACAATAAGCTTAGGATGGTAGAGTAGAGAGAAAGACAGCACCGACCTTGGAAATGGCCCTTATGGCTAGCACCTCCTACGTTCTCTGCCTGGAGACAAATATGTAGTACCCATTCCCCTTGGAGTCCAAAACCTTTAACATGATCAGTTTTCTCTCTCTAGCCGGACTAACTTTATTGTTTAATTCTTCCAGTGCGATAAGCCTTTTCCTCGCCTCCAAATATTCAGTGTCTGGCTCATTAATAAATGTTTGATAAATACTGGTTAAAAGTTAATGTTACATTTTTAAAATGAAAGACTGATTATACACGAGATTGATAAACTTAGGAATGTATAAGCTGAGTTGGGTTTTCATAGGAGCCAGGACAGCCCAGGCAATCCTTCATCTATATGGTATGTTTCTTTCTGATGCTTTCTTCACTGTCCTTCCCTTAACCTTCTCTCTTCCTCTCTCTTCCCTTCTAGGCTGTTATCCTTGACATCTGCAGCAGCCCCTCCGAGCTGTGGAGATCAGGTCATCGGGAATGCCCATTTATGGCAATGGAAGAAAGAAAAAGGGGTCTCCTCCCATCTTTACCACTGCATTCTCCCACCAACACTGCTCCTGTTCCACTTCCCACAACTTAATTGTTGACAATTTAACAGTGGGTTTCTGGAAACAGTGCTGCCTTCGTGATGGTCTAACTACCAGAGTTATTCCAATAGCAGGAATTTCAAGCCAGGTAAGGGGAGCCATGTCAGGCTGCCAGATGGTGGGGAAGACAGGTGTGGGTGAGCTGGCTTCAGACTAAAGGAAGAGGGGATCAAGTGTTGAAATCACATTTGAGAAAAGGAGTCAAGCGAACCTCATTACCCATTATGGAGCCCTGTTATATCCTTTAGTGCTATTTGGACTTGGATTGAACCTGTGACAAATCCTTTGCTTATGCTTCTTCCATCCCTGCTTCCATGTTATATCCTTTCCCCTTCTAAAATGGTAATAATGAGAAATAACTATTACTAATTACCCTAGAACATAAATTTCATTTAAGATGTCACAATCAGAATATCATCCTCAGTTTTTCAGAGCCGCAAATTACCCACGGTTATATGCAGGTAGTACTAAATGGACAGATCTGGGATCAAGCTCAGGGCTTTGTGACTTTAAAATTCTTGTTCTGCTACCCTCCAAGTGGCCTAGGGTGATTTGCCCTAAACGGTTCACCTCTGTATGACGATGCATCCATGCAGTGGGGCTTATAGAAAGTGAATGTGGAGCCTCAGAGCCTTAATCTTGAAGCAGGCTCTCTAGAAGGAAGCTTGCAGAAGGAGTGGGGACTCAATGGGATGCTGTTTTCTCATTGTGTTTCAGTGATGACTGAAAATCTGTTGCCAACAACTATCTGGAAACAATGTTTTGACGATCCACCACCCCACCCCTCCAAACCACCTTCTTGCACATACTCCAGAATAATAGACAGAAGAATTTAATACATGTGATGCTTTGCCTTCCATTTACACTATCATAAATTACAAAGTATTGTTCACTTCACAAAATAAAACCATTTCCAGATAATTTTTTGACAGTATCAAGAAGTACATAAACTACAACAGACAAAGCTGTACAGTTGGGAGGAGGGATAATAGCAGGGAAGAGGTCAAACCATTCTGACCTCTGTGTGCCAATGGAGTCCATCTGCATAGCCCTTGGGACTGTTCAGGTCAACAGTCACACGGTGATGCTCCACGTAACACAGTCATTCTCTTCTGCTCACTCCAAAGCAAGATTGGTGAGTTTACACAAATCATCTCAATCAAAGGAAAAGACATTGTGGTTGGATTTTTTAAAAATCTAGATTTACAGTTTTTGATGTTTTAAATATTTCACCTATGTTACAAAATATAGAAATCTTGGTGTGAAAGGCTCATGCTAAGATAAATATAACCAAGAGAATGGAACTATAGTAATAAAATCATATTGAATTATCCACACAGAGCTACTTTTGTCAAGGAGGAACAAATATTTGGTAAAAACCAACCTTATTCTCACTTTAAAAAATAGGTTTCTAGAACAAAAATGAAAAACATTGACAATTCTGCAGATTCGCTTTTCACCAATACAGAAATGTGGCAAAAATACAATTTGATATTAACAGATGAATTCAGAGGGCTTGGCCAGGAAGAAAAGAGGGAAAGTGCTAACTTTTTACACAGACCAGATACATCCAGTGTTCTCAAATAATTTCAGGTAAAATGACCGCATTCTGTATCTTCTGGGATACACATTCATGATACGAAAAGACTATGACCAATTCCAAAGCATACTTTGGGAATTCACAAAATTTGTATGAAAAGAAAATTGGTGGACATTTCAGAGCATCCTACAATTGCTATAAATATATACCATACAATAGAAGAATGCCAGTGCTTAAGAGCAAAAACTGTCAAAAGCAGGAACACAAAGGGCAGGTGAAATTTCATTGAAAAGCACTGAGGAGGACAGAGGTATGTCGAGATAATACTGCATTTGTGGTCAGCTTTTTCAGGGTGTCACAGCAAAATGAGGGACAAGGTACACAGGGTAATAACCAATGCACTGCATTGAGTTCTATTTGCTAAAAATAACATTCTTGTGGCTAAAATAAAAATATGTTTTATGATATAGGTTTCATTTAACATTGAACAGAATTGTCTTCTTTTTGTAAGTGGAAAATGTATAACTGTATCAAGTACCTTTATGAGTTAAGTTCCCTTTTATTACCAATAAGACTGAAATTTAAAGGTCTACATTGTTTTTAATAAATTAAAGATGTATTAATCACTCTTCCAGCAAACCAGACATACATAGGAGGCACAGCAAAAGACCCAAGGTGAGGGGGCTTCCGTCACCTTCACCCTTGTTCTCATGTGGAGGTGGCGCATGTCTATGAGACACAGTACCCCACTCAGCGATCCTCTGCAGTCCAGCAAATTCTAGCACTTGTTTGGAAAACAAATCAAGTGGTAAGAAAAGTTTTTATTCCTTTAGCTTTGTCAACTTGGATGGGGCTTAGGCCATTCAACTCATTTCCCTGATGGATTAGAATAAAACGTCTTCGTTTTCTATTAAAATCTGCACAATCAGCTTTTGGTACCGCATATCATGCAGGGTGGTAAGGGTGCTGTCCTCAGGGGGCCTCATCAGAGTGGGCCCAAACACGATCCCCAGATTTTCTGCATTCATGAAATTGTCTTTTTCATTCATAGTAACCCTGCAAAACAAACATACAGAACAGAGATGTTATGGAGACTTGAGGATTGATTTTCTGTATTGATTATGTATGTAAGTCCCAAGAACATCTCTGGTTCAGGAAATTGCAAGAAAAAATTGGGAATCAGAATGGCAGAAAGGTATTTTTGAAGGGTAATTGACCGATTTTTTGTTTTATATTGTTGACATTGCCTTTGCCAGTGGAAATGAATTACATATGTGAATCTGGCAGGAACACAATTTTTTAAATTAGAAAATTAGTCCTCCTTATTAAGTCAATATGGAACTATCATTTAAGGAATACTGGTTTGTAGGGGCAGCAGATTCTGAGGCTGGTCCATGGTCCTTTCACAGGCCTCATACGGAAGGCTTTTTTTCCTCTTGTGGCTTCCTGCTGGTCTGTATGCTGGAGAGTGGGAAGGGAAGGGCAGGATCCCTGTCTGCTGGGAGGACTGGTGCCAGAGGAGAAAGGTTATGTGTAGAATGGGCTGTCATGAATTTAGGAAGAACCAGGCCGTTATCATGGGGTGGGGGAATGGCTGGAATGTGGCCAAACTGGAAGGCAGTTGGACATTATTTCTAGTTCCCACAGGATGAGGTCTACAGCAGTTGAAATGAAGAATCATCATTTTGACATCCAGATAAGAACTGCAGAGCCTTTAAGAATAAAATTCAAACTGCAAAGTTGGTTTAATATCTTCCTCATGGAATAAAATTACAATCTCCCAGAGTTATGTTTTCACAAATTTAAGTTTCAGAATGTTCCTAATAGATGTAAAAGGGAGTGGGTTCTCCAAAAAAGAGCAAAATATAATTAAAATGTGTTTAGGTTGTGCATAGAAAGCCATCCCTTTCTATTTCCTTATAACTCATTAGGATTAGCCATTGAGTATTATTTTAAGGTCAACCCAGTTTGTGTCATGTCCATGCCACAAAGCTAAGAGCAAGGTTGGAAAGAGGACATTTCTCACCATCAAAGTGCTCACAGCTTCCTCTTAAGTCAGGCACTATGCCTGACCGAACAAGATGGCTAGCAAACCCACTATGAAAAAGATACAGTATTATTGGCATTTAAGGTTCAGCTGAAAGGTGTCAGCATTTTTTCTGGTAATGGTACTTTGCCTTCCAAATTGTAACTGGATATTGATCACAATAAATATTTTACAACTGACTGAAAGCCAGATGTGACACCATAATTATCTAAAAATTACTTGTACTCCTAAATTCAACAAATTAATCAAAATGGGAATATTCTGAGCTAAATGTTACCATCACCTGTCACCCTGAATCTGAGCAACAATATTGTATGTCTTAAAAGGTAGAAAAATAAAACCTCAATACCTACTGTTTATACAGTCCTCAGTTTGCCTCTTTTCACTTACTAAGTAGATCTGTGAACTGGTCAATGTAGACAATTTTTGGTTCATTTTGTCAAAGAATGGGCTGCTGCCAAATGTCTTTCAAAAACACAGAGGAACACAGATGTGCCCTGATCCTTCCAATGTTATAACACCAATTCATCAACCTCATTACACATGTGCAGTGAGAGAGAGAGAGACAAGGTTTAGGGAGAGTAGTGTCACCAGAGGTTCTAGTGTCCCATAAACATCCAGATGTCTCCATCTCTGTCTCCCACACACTCACACAGATAGTTCTGTGTGCCGCAGGTACTCTCTGAAATGGACCTCAGTGATATGCCTCCTGTAATTTACACCCTGCATCCCTTCCCCTAAAGTATGGGCTGGACTTGATTTGCTTCTAACAGATAAAACATGGCAAAAGCAATAGGATGTCACTTCTGAGATTAGGTTACAAAAAGACTGTCTTTCATATTGGGTGTTCTTGCTTTCTTGTTCTGAGAGAAGCCAGTTGGCTTCTAGTAGATTTGCTAGAAATATCACTCCCACGAGTTTTAATTTAAACTGCCTATGGAGAAATGCACATGGCAAGGAACTGAGGGTTGACTCCAGCAAACAGTTGGTGAGGGAGTGAAGCCTTCAGTCCAACAGCCTTTAAGGAACTGAATCCTGCCAACAACCATGTGAGTGGGCTTGGAGATGGATGCTACCACCATCAAGCCTTCAGGAGTGAATTTTTTTTTTCTTGAGACAGAGTCTCATTCTGTTGCCCAGGATGGAGTGCAGTGGTGCAATCTTTGCTCACTGTAGCCTTTGTCTCCTGGGTTCAAGCAATTCTCCTGTCTCAGCCTCCCAAGTAGCTGGGATTACAGGTGCATCAAGCCTTCAGATAAGACTGCAGCCTCATTACAGACCTTGAACTGGAGGCAGCCAGCTGATTCACACCTGGATTCCTGACCCTTGGAAACTATGAGATAATAAATGTTTACTGTTTTAAGCCACTAAGTTTTGGGAGAAGTTTGTTACTTAATGATATAGAACTCACACATCCAGAAAAATAAGAGATCAGGCTGGAAATGTGCTCTCCCAGGAGGCAGGCAGGCTCAGGAGCCTGGAAAGGGGCAAGCAACAGGGGGACGAACAGGACACAGAGTACAGGGCTTGTGTCAGATGAAGATGGCAGACACAGAGGCAGAGTAGGTAAAGGCTGTGCATCAGTCTGCCTGGGATCCTGGCTTCACCTCTTCAAATCAGCTATGTAACCTCCCCAAGTGTCAGCAATCTCACGAGTGACACGAGGCCCCTAATGGTGCCCCCCCCCAACTTTTTTTTTTTTTTTGACATGGAGTCTCGCTCTGTCACCCAGGCTGGAGTGCAGTGGCATGATCTCGGCTCACTGCCAGCTCTGCCTCCCGGGTTCATGCCATTCTCCTGCCTCAGCCTCCTAGGTAGCTGGGACTACAGGCGCCTGCCACCATGCCCGGCTAAGTTTTTGTATTTTTAGTAGAGACAGGGTTTCACCGTGTTAGCCAGGATGGTCTCGATCTCCTGACCTCATGATCTGCCTGCCTCGGCCTCCCAAAGTGCTGGGATTACAGGCGTGAGCCACCGCAATGGTGCCCCTTTCATAGGCATGATACACTGAAAGTGCCTGGCGTGGCTCCTGGCACGGTGAAGCTCCAGCAGTTATGGCTGGGGCTGGTGGCTCGGTCCCCTCAGGGGGCTGGGGAGGAATGCCGTCCACTTTTCCTTATGCATTAATTGCTCTAGGGGCAGAGCAGGCTTTGTGCATGAGGCATAAGCTTACTTTTTGAGGTGGATCATTAGGTACCGGAGGGTTTCATAGTGGGCAGGAGGCAGCAGCATCAGCACTTCATGGACGGCTTCCAGCCTCTCATCTGCATTGGAGATTTCTGTGAAGTTCATGCATGATGGGTATTAGTTCAGAGGGTGGCATTCAAGTTTTTAGAGAAGTAACAAGAAGTTTTTGTTTTAGCCAGAAATGGGGGAACGATTCTATTAAATTGATGCAATCCAAGCACTGTTTCACTTAATCAATTTGTTGGTGTCCTGTGTCATTCAGGAAAGAGTTTGAGGCTGAGCACCACATGCTTATTGAATGTCCTCTGGGTGGCCAGAGGCTGGACACTGTCCTTGCCCTCCATGAATCCGTAAGCCAGCAGAATGCATACAGTCACGGAGCATATGTGCAGACTGTGCTTTGCTTTCTTCTGAACAGTATATTTGCTAGAAATATCACTCCCACAAGTTTTAATTTAAACTGCACCATATACAGTACTATTCCCTTGAAGTTGTCTAATGAGTCTTTCTCTGGCAGACTTCTACAAACCTAATACATTTTACAAGGCAAGGACATTGGCAATGAGCCACCCAACTCAGCCTGCACTCATGGCACTTCTCACTATAGTGTTGGCATGCTTAACCCCAGTGCACAGCCCAGGTTAGGAAGTGGAGACTGGACACATTAACAATGGGAGGAAGAGTACATGCTTCTGGCTTTTGGGTCTCTGATAGGTACTGGCAGCTACTCAAAGAAAACCCTCCCGCTATTCCTCCTGGAGTAGAGGATGCTAGAACCTTCTTTGCCAGGACCACTAGGGCCCCGGAAGGAGGGAATAGTCTTACCGGGGTCAGGGCCTCAGCTCATCTGAAAAGTGCATCTCACACTGATCCCAGCCTGCCTTTGTGTCTCCCCATCAGGCATCTCATTACTATATTTAACAGCATACCTAAACTTTTCAACCTTTAAAGGTTTTTTTTTTTTTTTAAATAAAAACAACAACAATAAGCAAAAACTTCCTCAAAGTGAGCTTGACTTCTGTGTCATGTGTCTCAGCATCTGAAGCTCCCTTTGGTCCCTTTTGCCTCTTCCTGGGCAAAGTGTAGTCCCTTCCTCCAGACCTGCCCCCTTTTCACTCTCTTTTCTCTCCTACAGCAGTGGGCCCAAGTGCCAAACACTGAATGAGCAACCCTGGGCTGATGGAAGGCAAATCCTGATGTCCCATTCCTGGAAGCATGAGCTCAGCTCTCCAAGCCTTGCTTTTCTTCTCTGTAAAATGGGATTATAAGATTTGCCACATGGGGTAAATGAGGGAATTAAACTAGAAGGCACTGGTGAGACGTTCTAGTATACTGCTTGACACAGTATATTCTGGCCTTCTGTTCATTTTGAACAGCATCAGTAGACAAAACTTGGTTGTGACTTTAACTGATTAGGAATGAAATTCTGCCTAACAGATAAAAGTAGTTAATCTAGACCAAGCTTGTTCAGCCCGCAGCCTGTGGGCCGCACATGCCCAGGACAGCTTTGAATATGGCCCAGGACAAATTTGTAAACCTTAAAACATTATAAGATTTTAAAATAATTTATTTAAAAATTATTTAAAATTATCATTAAAGCTATCATTAATGTTAGTATATTTTATGTGTGGCCCAAGACAATTATTCTTCTTCCAATGTGGCCCAGGGAAGACAAAAGATTGGATCCCCATGATCTAGTCAGTCCTCACTGAAGATTTTTTTTTTTTTCTGCGACAGAAATATTCATGCTTTCAACACGGAATAGGCCTGACTGTGTTGGTTCCCAGCATACAAGGAATGATGCAGACAGAACTGCCTGACACATACGTCAGTCCACAGAGTTCTTAGAACTGGTTCAAGTCAGCTGTTGAACTATGCCTGGTCATCTATTTACCGTTGTGCCCTCACTTGACAAGACAGGTACAAATGCAATAATTTAAACAGTTCTGAGTTTTAATTTTCTGAAGGTCAAAAGCATTGTACTTAAAAATTTCTTAAAAATAAAAAGTTAATTTGAAGTACTTACTTGCTGCATCTATAAATTTGGAGTAGGTATCATATGTGATGACAGGGATGGGTAAGTCTCTGAAATACAGTTTAAGGGCTCCAGTGATGATGTTTATGTCTGGATAGACATTGGCAGATATATCGGCCTTTTCACCATCTGAAAAACAATCAGTGATTCAAGTCCTAATTAGGACCTTATTTCGCCAAGGCATGTACAGAAAGGAAAAAAAAAAAAATCCAATGGTGAATGCTCCCTGACAAGTCTCAGCTAACTCTTTTGGGTTCTAGTAACACTGAAGTGTAGGAGGCAACAGAAGGGTGTTTGGTGAGAGGGAGGTAGGCTCTGAGGGTTTGTGCAGGCAAATGGGTGATAAAACAAACTTCAAACAGTGCTTTGGGTCCCCACCCCTGGTAATTTGCTAAATAGAAATTTAGCACAATAATTTGTATTATAGACACAAAGGTTCATAATAAAATGACAATCTAATCTGAAACAAGAGAACATCAAGAAGCTCTAATACATTTCCACCAGTGTTTTTTAGACTTGGATTTGGAAGTCACATTCACAAAATGATTGTTGAATAGTTTCAGTTCTTATTGTTTCTTTCAGGTTCACTGAAGGGGTTTGTTTATTTGTTTTTTTTAACTTGATCCTTCCTCCCTGATCCCCTAGGAATTTAATCTGGGAAACTTTACCCTTTTCTCATGGATGTGTGATGTTATATTTCTTATCATTTTTTTTTTTTTTTTTTGGTGAGACAGAGTCTCACTCTGTAGCCCAGGCTGGAGTGCAGTGGTGCAATCTTGGTTCACTGCAACCTCCGCCTCCCGGGTTCAAGCAATTCTCATGCCTCAGCCTCCTGAGTAGCTGGGATTACAGGCACGTGCCACCACGCCTGGCTAATTTTTGTATTTTTAGTAGAGGGGGGAGTTTTGCTATGTTGGCCAGGCTGGTCTCGAACTCCTACCTCAAGTGATCCACCCATCTCAGCCTCTCAAAGTGCTGGGATTACAGGTGTGAGCCACTGTGCCCGGCCTATTTTGACAGTTATTTCACTTCAGCACTTTAAATATATTATACTAATGTATCTGGTATTTATTGTTGGTCCAGAATTATTTCTTTGTAGGCAGTACAAAGGATCAGCACAGAAGTTCTGACCTGCTCCGTTTCCACCTCCCAAAGTGCTGGGATTCTAGGTATCCGCCACCGTGCCTGGCCTATATTTCTTACCATTTCTAACAATAATTCTCAAGACATTTTTTGACTTTTAGTTTTACCATTAGGAAACACCAGTCCAATTTGTCATAGCCTATGACATTTTTTGGATAAAAATGTTTTAATCATATAGGAATTCTTAATATCTTTTACATAAAGAATTAAAAGAATAAATGCCTCAGCAAATTTGGTTCTGAAGATAAAAAAAGCTGCTGATGTATAGAAAACAGTAAAAACATAGAAGATATGCCATGTTTATTTCATTATTTACATATTTAGCAAGCAGTTATTGAGAAGCTGTCATGTGCCAAGCACCATTAAGCCCTGATGAACCAAAGAAAAGAGATACTCTCTGCCAACCAACAGTTCCAGTTAGATTGACATGTCAGACATGCAACTCAACAATGACAAGGAAATGGGAAGATTGCTATGCTGAAGAAGTGTGGGGAATGTGGGGGGTGGGGTGTGGGAAAAGGAAGTTGAGCTCTGAGGTTAGCTTGGGGCCGTCAGCGAGGCTTCCTCAAGGAGGAAAGGCTTGAGCTGACCCCTGATTATAGGTGTTTGCTAGGCAGAGAGGTGAATACATTTCAGATAGACAGGACAATGTGAGCCGAGGCACTTCTTCATGGCAGCAAATAGGGTGTATTTCAGGATTGCTGGAGTGTACAGTAGAGTAGGGAGGAGGAACTGGAGAGAAGTCTAAAGAGAGAGGGAGGGCAACCTCACTGATTTCATATACCACACTACAAAGTAGAGGCTCTATCCAGTAGGCTCTATCCAGTAGGGGTTCCATGTCTTCACTGGCTGTGCCAGAATTCTTGGATTGCTTATTAGAAATACAGATTCTTGGGCTTATCCAGCTTTCTGAATGAGTCTTCAAGTTGGGTCTCAGTGACCCGTATTTTTAACAGGATCCCCAGGATGGCCATGATATCTGACTTAAGAGATAGTATGTTCTAGAGAATATACACCACAGTTATAAAGAACAAAAGCAGTTCCCTCCTACACGTCCACTGCCTTCCCCTACATTAGTGCTGGGGGTGCCCTCCCATCCTTATGATCCCTTCTTTGGAGCTTTGAGAGAAGGAGAAGAATGGGATCCTGAGACAGGGGATGCAGACGGGTACTCCAATGCCATATGGATTGTCTGCTCGTTGACAGTGATCACTTGTCAATGGCTGCGAAGGAAACACTTTGCCCAGTGAGGCAGAAACATGAGATTTGTAAGCCATTATTCCTCCGTTTCTTGAAGAACAACTCTTAGTAGTTCTGAAACCCCATTTCTGCTATGATTAAAATCTAGTTCCAAACGAGAAGGGTGTTAGGATGTCAGATGGCATTCAAGAAAGTACAAGCTTACCTCTGTCAAATGCCATTTTGACGTCTTCAATGTGTTCAGTGAACCCAGAGACTCTGTAAAGGCCTTCCGATTTTAATCCTGAGAGAGAGAGAGAGAGAGAGACTAACTTTAGCTTCTTGAAACATCTGAAAAAAAAAAAAAGACTCTAATTTCACATCTACACTACATGCTATCAGGAAATGAGCAAACATAGACAGCGATCTTATTTATCACACACAGTTGCATCGGAACTTGGACTTGTCTGTCTCAATTTCCAGGCAAGTCTGTTCTCATTTGCCCATGTAGCAGTGGAGATCTCAGTGTAAATCCGGTCTTCATCCTTCTCCGCTTTGCAAAGAGAACTGATATTTAAGATTCTCATGGACCGTTCCCTTACTTCCTTTCCTTTGTTCATGAGCTTGCTGGACACGAATTTCATCATTGTAGGAAGCAAGCCTTCTTCCTAGCATCATCTTTCTTTTATTAAGTTCTGTGGGTACGTAGTAGGTGTATGTATTTATGGGGTATATGAGGTATCTTGATACAGGCATAAAATGTGTAATAATCACAGCAGGGTAAGTGGGGTACCTAGCATCATCTTAATCCATGTGCTATATTGTATGTAGCACTGTACTAGATACACATGTGTATGTATGTGGATATCTAATATGTATTACTCTGATTTTATTGGAAAAAATTAGACTATTACAGCCTTTCATGTTTACTTGTAAATAAGACTATGTTAACTGTTTAATTAAAAATGATTACTTGTTATACTTTTAGACAACTGATTATACAAACAGATGCAGGAAAATAAAGTTTTAGTTATTGCTTCTGGAAATTGGATCACTGCAAATTTAGGCTAAGAAAAAAAGACTTGGTTTCTGTTCCTGGAGTTTATTGATTTGTTAAGATATGTCCTAAAAACAAGTCAGTTCCCAAAAGTATGAGCAGAGATAAAGGACCGGATTTCAGACTTTGTATGGCACAAACTAGCTGCTATCAAAACTATAGCTACCGTAAAGATAAGCAAACAAATAGCTTCTGCTGCTGCTGCCATATATTCTGCCAAACCCTTGATAACTCACATATGCTCTTGTTTTTTTATTTGGAAAACATTTATGGAGTATGTATTATCTGCCGTATATAAGGGTCTTCATTAGGTATGCATCAAAGACAACAAATACATGACGTAAATCACGAATACTTCCCCTCATCCCTCCTGTGACCATGACAGATGCTCTTAGTTGATCTCAGCCTTTTTTCCCACTGAGCCCTATTTAGCCTCAGAATTCATCTCAGTTCCAATTGCTCAGGTGACCACTACTGATCAACTGTAGTTGTCACACAAGACGAAACTTGTGGGTCATCCTGTTCTACGATGTTGGTGCATATGAGCACATCTCATTCCAGTTGGAACATGCACTGCCACAGAGGCACAGAGGCACAGACCCAGTGGATTATGGGAGCCCCTAGCAGTGAACATTGAACCCTGCCTGTTGATGGATGAATCAAAGTTCTGGCCTCTGGTGAGGCTCTCTTTCTGGCTCATAGATGGCCACCTTCTCTCACACGTCCTTTCCTTGGTATATGTGCATGGAGAGTGAGAGAGAGAGCTTGCTCTTTGGTGTCTCTTCTCATAAGGACATTAGTCATACTGTTTAGGGTCCCTCCCTTAGGACCTTATTTAGCCTTAATTACTTCTTTGGAGACCTCCATCTCCAAAGACAATCACACTGGTGATTAGGGCTTCAACATGTAAATGTGGTGGGGTAGGAGAAACAAACATTCAGTCATAAGATTTACTGAGTCACTTTCAAAGAAATCCAGGTTTTCAAGGAACATAGAAAAACCCATGCTTTTGTTCTCACTCATAAGTGGGAGTTGAACAGTGAGAACTCGTGGACACAGGGAGGGGAACATCACACACTGGGGCCTGCTGGAGGGTGGGGGTCAAGGGGAAGGAGAGCATTAGGACAAATACCTAATGCATACAGAACCTAACACTTAGATGATGGGTTGATAGGTGCAGCAAATCACCATGGCACATGTATACCTATGTAACAAACCTGCACATTCTGCACATGTATCCCATAACTTAAAAAAAAAAAAAACTATGCTTTAAACAATACACCAAGTTGTATGGTTTAGAGTATAATTAAATGGGGGTAATTTTCCTGATTTTAGCCCATGCTTCACTGAGCAAAGCATCACCCTGTATTACATCGAGATGCTTTTTAAAGAAGCTAATCTTTGAAGGAAATGATAAAGGATGGTTAGAGTTTGCCAGAGTAGCAGAAGCTGCCAGCTATCCTTCCAATATTTGTTCTCCCATTCTTCTGTTGTAACGGCCCCTTTGATTTTTAGAACAATATCCATTGCAGTGGCCAGTAAACTCTGGCCCATGTGGGAGCAGAGGTGACATTTATGGCTTCTGTGGCCTTAAAGGAACTGAGGATGCTCTTTTCCGCTTCCTGTTGAGTGAAATGCAGATGAGATGGTGGTGGCCAGCTGCGATTGTGCACGCAGGATAGTACTCAAGCAGGACAGAGCAACAAGCTGCAGTGCCTGGGTTCCTGCCATGGGGGAACAAACTATTCCTGGACTGCTCCTGGGTACCTGGACTATTACTGGGGAGAGAAATAGATTTCTATCTTGTCAAAGGCACTGTTATTTAGGGTCTCTGTGACAGCATTGAGATGTACAGGCTACGTAATATAGTTAGACAGATTTGGAGGTGGAGGTATGGGTGTGGGTCATTCCAAGAAAACATAAAATTAACACAGATTGAGTTCGGTAGACTGAACGCTGTACTAGGTCCATTTATGTATCAAGTCACTTTAATCCTCGCCAACCACCTTATGAGGTACAGTTGATTCCATTCATATTATAGATGAAGAAACAGATATGCAAATACAGTAAGTAACTTGCCCAAGGTCGTGCTACAGCCAGTAAGAGACAGGGCTGAGAATTTAACTTCAAGTCCTTGATCTTTTCACTCTACCACATCATGGAGAGACAAATGAACATAAAAGAACATTTGGAGAACAATAAGGAATTTTTTACGAATGGAAGACAGAGAAAAATGTTGGCGGTGGTGGCTCCACAGCTGGGTATGTGAGTGTCACACAAATTTCTCTCAGCCCATTCTCTGGTTCTGCTTGCATGCTTAGGCCCCTAATACCTGGGGCTCTAATCCCTGTGCTGTTGATGCCCACTCTTTGGGCATCAATTCCTAATTTGTGCTACTCTATCTCACTCTTGTACTAGGCAAAATCAGTGCAGTGCCCCCTATTCTTAAATGTTAGACATGTCAGTAATGTTGCCTGAATTATCAGTTGTCTCTGCTAAGGATCACAATGGGAGGACCCCAGCTTCTTCAGAAAAGCCCTGATTGCAGGCTCTGGAGAGGCTGATAATCTGACCTCAAACTGCAGGGCCCAGGGCCACTTGTCCCAACCACTCATCCGGAGGCAGAGAATCCCTCCTTTCCTCTTACCCAGTTTAGCCACTGGATTAATATGTTCACCAGATCCCAAAGCACTCATTAAGCTCTGTCAGCCACAGTGGTGAAAAGATAGAAGGCATTTCTACACTCTGGGATTAAATTAGCAAGTTCTCAAGGAACAGGATAGCTACGGTTTTCCCCCTCCACAGAAAAGGGAATAGTTTCCTCTCTCTAAAAGGGTTGGGATAATAAGTTATGACATCCTCTTTAGTTGTGCTTTGGAAAAAATGGGGTAGTTCACCAATGAATATATATGTATAAAATATATTAAGCCAGTTAGGACACAATAATGGATACCAAGTATAACAGAATATGATACATGGCAAAAGTGGTTTAAACCTTACAAAAAGGCTCTATACATGGCCAAATCACCCAAGTTACATCCAGCAACATCAGTGAACATTCTGATACTGAACAGTGGCCAAAGAAAGCACAAATAAAGGAAAAGTGACTCATGTACAACATAAAGAACATTTTTTGTGCACAACGTGCAGGTTTGTTACATATGTACCCTAGAACTTAAAGTATAATAAAAAAAAAATAAATAAATAAATAAATAAATAAATAAATAAAAAGAACAGTTTTTTGAAATGTTTCTTTCTTCCCTGTTTATTTTTCATTGAACAGATCTTTTAAATCTTTGAACTCTCCTCTTTGAAATAAACAATGAATATTAGGAGCACATTTTTATATGGTAGGAGATGCATGTGTTGCTCAACAATTTCTTAATAGAAGCACCTTTTTTTCAAAGATCCAATTCAAGCCTCACCTCTGCCATAACCTTTTCCCATTGTCCTTAAATAGGATTAAAACATTTTCCTTTGTGACTCTGTGGTACCTTGAACACAGCCATCCACAATATTTGTTTATTTGCTCCTGATTGCCCACTCTAAAGTATGAATTTCTTCCATGCCTTAGCCTCCCGAGTAGCTGGAACTACAGGTGTGTACCACCACATCGGGCTAATTAAAAAAAAAAAAAACTTGTAGAGATGGGGTCTCACTATGTTGCCCATGCTGGTCTTGAACTCCTGGGCTCAAGTGATTGTCTGGCCTCAGCGTCTGCTGGGATTACAGGCGTGAGCCACTGCACACAGCTGAAGTATGAATTTCTTGATGGTGAGAATGGTGACCTTTATTACCTCAATGCCCAGCATGTAATAAATGTTCAGTAAACATTTTTTGAATGCATATATGCATGGCTTATATATAGAATGGAAATTGATAGAGCTGGTTGGATTGAGTCTATCTGTGAGACAGAATGAGTGTGGGTGCGCGCACACATGCCTAGGTCATTTTCCCAAGAGTAGTAGAGCAATTCTGTTTCCTTGACAACAGTAAAAACAAACAATAAAAATAAAATCACTATGCTACTATAATAGGAAGTATTTTCCAAACCTCTTGCTTCAATTTCCCGAATGCAAATGTCCACCACCATGGGTCTCTGAGTGTTGTGAGCCTTCACAAGTGTTGTGAGGTCACAACAGTATACTTTCTTGATCCTCTTGAGATCAGGTTGGCAGTCATTGGGAACGTGCTTGGAACACTGTTTGTGTACGTTCAATCCACAGTCTGTAAACAAAGAAGCCACATTAGCTTAGCCCAGCCCTTTTGTCAAAGCACAACCCAAATTATATGTTGCCAAAAATAAAAATATCACCACCCAAGGGTTTGACATATTTCTCTGGAACATCTATCCCATTTCTAGGTGATACTGTCTACAGGATAAATATGAGTATCATCTCTAATCACTAAACCCGTATATGATTCCATTTTTCTCATTAAGCCTTCTCTGTCGTTGGACCTTGAGAACAGAACATATGAGACAGCTTAGGTAATTGATCAGGTTTTTTTGTATATATTTTCCTGTTTCAGGCTGGAACCCTTTGGGTCCACAAGTAGGATTTTGGGTTTGGATTCCCAGACAGTCCTGGCTTATAAAGGGCACCTAGGGTTTGTTCCAGGCTGTTTCCTTTAAGCTCTCGATGCTGCTTGTGTGGGAGGCAGAGTTACTCTTTCCGCAGGACCCTCTAATCTTTGCTTTGAGGAGTCCATGACCACTGGTATCCTTCTCCCCTTTCCTGGAAGGTTGCCCCATCGTTTCCAATCCCTTTCTCCTTGGGCAGTTTGGGTAGGCCGCTTTCCTTTCTAGGTGCCTTATTTTGACACCTGTGAGTGGAAATAATGCCTAACTATATACACCAGTAGGAGTACTTGAGAGTTTATACCAATGCCGTGTAATGTAATGTGATGATTATTTATAAAGTTCATATGAAACCCCAAAGCTGAAAAAGGTGCTTTTAAAGTTCAATGAACACATGAAAAGCCTGTTAGCAGTTGATATCCACTGATGGAATTTCTCTGACGATAAAAAGGCACAGTTGGCCAGGCACGGTGGCTCATGCCTGTAATCCCAGCACTTTGGGAGGCCGAGGCAGGTGGGCAGATTGCCTGAGGCAAGGAGTTTGAGACCAGCCAACATGGTGAAACCCTGTCTCTACTAAAAATACAAAAATTAACTGGGCATGGTGGTGGACCCCTGTAATCCCAGCTACTCAGGAGGCTGAGGCAGGAGAATCACTTGAACCCAGGAGGCAGAGGTTGCAGTAAGCTGAGATTGCGCCACTGCACTCCAGCCTGGTGACAGAGAGAGACTCCGTCTCCAAAAATAAAAAATAAAAAAGCACAGTCTACATTCAATGCTGAAGTTGTTCAAAGTTGATGTGCTGTCTACTCAAACCGTCTTTTAATACTGTTTTCCTAGGCACAAAGAATAACACATGTGCACACACGATAAGGAATATTGTAGTCATCTGCTTTATAAAATAGCACTTAAGCACACTAAGAACTTGAGAGGATCTAAACTTTTGTAAAATCAGTGGTAATTTCTAACTGATTTTCATGTAATTTTTATTGGCTTGAGTTCTCTATCTACCCTCCTTCCAAAGTAAGAAAAAAAAAAAAAGTTCGAATTCATCTTTATCAACATGAGAAATTCAACAAAGCTCAAGTGACTTCAATAATATTTTGATACCTCTATCTAGTGAATGTAAATTTTGGCTAACTGCGCTAAATAGAGTTGGCTGGGTTTCTTGTTGAATCTTCTTTTATAGAAGATCATAATAGCACCTACCCCCTGGCATTAGCCATGAGGCTCAAATAAAAGTTAATAAAGTGTTTAGCATAGTGTCTGAAATATAGTTAAGTACTATATGTGTTAGGTCAAATAAAATCAATAGCAAATATGGTGATAAAAAATGTAAGTATATCTGCCCAGCTATTCTTCAGTGATTTCATTAGGAATTTAGTATGTCTTACAAACTTAATTTTTTAAAAAAATTCGGATAAATTTATCATTTTAACCATTTTTAAGTGTATGATTTGGTGGCATTAAGTACATTCATGCTGTTATGCAAGCACTACCAATGGCCATCTCCAGAAATTTTTTCTTTTTTT